TGTGTGTGTGTGTGTGTGTGTGTGTGTGTGTGTGTGTGTGTGTGTGTGTGTGTGTGTGTGTGTGTGTGTGTGTGTGTGTGTGTGTGTGTGTGTGTGTGTGTGTGTGTGTGTGTGTGTGTGTGTGTGTGTGTGTGTGTGTGTGTGTGTGTGTGTGTGTGTGTGTGTGTGTGTGTGTGTGTGTGTGTGTGTGTGTGTGTGTGTGTGTGTGTGTGTGTGTACCTGAATACGCGAGATTTCCTTCTTTATGATTTCATGCCAGAGAATTGCATTGAATCTCTCAATTGCAAAACATCTATATATTCTAAATTTGAATGGATAATTTATCGAAGTCTGAGATATATTGTGTGTGTGCGTAATCTCGATAGTACTCATTCGATTATACTTCCGACAGTCGCCATTCTAATAACTGCTATAATTTTATCATGTAAATCGGTCTCTCACATAAATCACTAATACCTGCATATATTTTCATTCATCCGCTTTAGTAAGATAAGTGACTTGCGCGAGTCTGTCGTTTAAAGTCATGATTTAAATTTAAGCAACGTGGCCGATAGTCGACTTTATGAATACATCGATATCCAAAATACGATTTTTAATGCCGTGATATATTGTTGGCCGCATGCAACCTGGTCAGGTTAATCGTGAAATATTACACCACAAAAGTCATATCCACGGCAAAAAAAAAAAAAAAAATGAAAATAACGTTAAACGTGTCTAACGAAAAGAAAGATATATGAAGCGGTGAAACCTGTACGCATTATATCGTGCCTATCGGCGAAGAAAATTGTTTCACGAAATTACTGATCGTTCGACAGAATGGCAGATATCATTAAGACATTAATCTTTCACGAGATTCCTCTTATTGCGGTTATCGATTTATCGAACGACGCACGCAAGCGCGCGGTTGAAATTAATGTCCGAAGGCGGAAGTGGACTATTACGACGACCAAATCCATGGCTTCAATTCAACCGCGACGGTCGTCAAGACAAAGGACCCTTGTCCCTCAAAGACGCCAAGTCAGATATCCTGCTGGGTTTCCTTCTCCCCGTATCTGTGTTCAACGTTAAACCACATTTCATACTAATTACGCTAGTTTACAAAATATTTCGCATATTTCATGCTTCCTTTATATAATCCTATCGTGTGCTTCGAGAAAATCATAGCAAGAATACAAGGAGTTTATAATTTTGAAAGTCTCGAGAAAATCATAAAAAATTAATTATTAAAAGTAATTAATTTATAATTAAAATCGCTTTTATGTACATTCTAATCACGCATGCGAATATAAATAATATTCATTTATATATTCATTTATATATTATTCAGATATATATTTAAAATATTCGAAAAAAATAGAAAAGAGAAATATCATAGAAATAGTCGAAAGAATAAAAATTGCCCCAGGATCCACTATATCTCATATTTTTAACTTCTCCTCTCTGCTTGATTTTATATTTATCCACTTTTATATTTTTGTTCGCTTTTTTAAAATGAATTTTTAAAATTGTTATTGCATTCTTTATCCTTTCTGGATTACTGATGACAGTTAAATTTTTTTTTTCAATTTTAGTTAAATAATATATCAGTGTGTTTCGCAAATGCAAATACTATCGTATTTAAAAATTGATTAACAAATAAAGCAATTGCAAATAAATCAAATACCAGTCCTTCTTTAATTGAATTTATATACTAACCGATTTCGAAATACTTTTTCACACGAGCCTCGTGAACTTATCTAGTCTTCTTCCCAATTCAAGTTTTATCTCGGCACGAAATGGCTTTTCCGATCCAATAAAGTGTGCCGCGTTAATTATCGGAATTTCGAGAGGTAATTCATTAATATCGCTTTCTGGCGATGCTGCACGAATCGATATCGTCGCCGAGAGAAAGAAAGGGAAGGAGGGGCGAAGAGGAAGGAGAGAAAAAACAGAGAAACAGAACGCTTCCCTCTCCCTTCCAATGAGAAATCTGCAACTAAATATTGATATATAATTAACTGTCGTATTTCATGATATCTTCCGCATCGCGATTTCGTGTATCGTCGACGTCAGTGTTCCGCGCATTGGACAGGAGAAAAATTCTCTCGGACGACATACTACCGATGGCGGTGTGCGGCTTCACGGAGAACGTCGGCACTCTCTCTCGCTCGGCCGCTCTATCAAAATTACTTCGCGGCGTTCGACTTTTCGTCGCCATCAATCTTTCCCGGTTTGACTGCTAACGCGATAATGCAGTTACGCCGCGTGCCGGGATAGGTAGATACGGACACCTCGGCCGGTCCGTCGAATTCGTCATACATAATTGAATTAAAAGCAACGACGTCAGATAAGTGGATTTGCGGATCACCCAACTGGCAGAACCTCCGAGTAACGCTGATTCACGATAACCTCGCTCGCGATACCGGAGATTTCATAGGGAATTCACGTGAATCCGCGAAATGACCGCTCTCTCGAGGATATTGTGCTGTCCGGAAATCTCGTCCTCTGATTTTTTCATTACCATTTGTGCCCAATGAAGATTGTTACGAATATGTTGTATGTAATGCACTCTTTGCATTATGTTTAAAAGATAACACCAATGCAAATAAATTCATAAGTTATTATAAAAAAATTTTCTATGCTATAATCTCTTTCAATTTATAACTTTTAATTTTGTTTCTTTTTTTCCATAAAAAGTTTGACAATTTTTTTGTTGCATTAAAAATAAATATTCCGTAATATAAAGCTTTGGTATTATGAGATATTCAGTTTCATGAAATAAATGTATTGTTTTAAAAGATTTGTAATTTTAGAATCGTAAAATATAATATCATTATTTTCTCTTCAAAACTGTTGAAATTAAAATCGATAAGCCACATAAAACTTTAAGTTGACGTTTTCTCATTTTATTAGCGCAGTATGTAAATTACTTAATGATCGAGTAACATTCATTAGCAATATAATTTTGTTATTTTATGATATACCAATTAAACATTAAAATTGAGAGAATCCCGAGGTATATTTTGTAAATACAATAGTTGTTTTATGCCGAAACACGCGAAATTTCGTGATGCTAGCGCGATATCTTCGCTCGCATTATAATTTAGGAACAGCAATTACATAAAATAACGATTAAATTATACAAAGTAATAGCAAGCGAATTAATTAGTCGCTTCAATAAACATGATGAAAATTGGGAATCCAAATAAACACAAATACACCGTTAGCAATGTAAAAGCGAATCATAAAGCTCTCTTTCTCTCTCTCTTCCGTTTCCCTTCTCTTTCTTTATCTAACTCAATATAAATTCTGATATATTAAATATAAAATAAAATGCGTTAATTGTGTGAAAAAATTTGAAGAACTATATAAATATTAGTCTTATACTAATCTATTATTATTAAATTCGGTTATTAAAAGCTCGAAATTCAAAAACACTATTTTATGGTTTAACAACTTTAAATAATTTTAATGATTAATTTTCGATTACTGACAAAATTTGGTAATGACGAAAAAAGCTATGATAGTTGGCATTGTATGAATTTAATAGTTCGCAGTTTCTATGCAAAAGTTTCTAAGATCTCGCACCAACTAAGTCACAGACTCGCTGTAAAGATATCTTCCAGAATTGGGGCGTATTTGTCACCAGGGTCATCAGGGCTTTTTGCCGGCATCAATTTTGTTCGCTCTTGTGAGCGATTTAGCTTATCGATACCGAGCTACCGAATAAAGAATAATGATACATAATAGATATGTCTTTAACAGCTTATTCTTTATTTCTTCACCTTGTTATAAAATATTGACGGTCGAAACGCGGAGATGATGAGGAATAAAATCAACGTCGCTAAGGAAAAATCGAAGGCTTGATAAGAACAGCGAGCGCTATTGTTGCGTTTATCCGTATCCAATACCTATTCAATAGCTCATCGTTTTCGTGGAATCGCATACCGATTACCATTCTCTCACCAGGATGCGTCGCGATCATCGATCGTCTTACCAGTTCGAAGCATCGTGGTAATTGTATGAAAGGAGGTCATTACGCTCGTGCACATGAATAAATTTGTACAGTTGTTCCATGGTTATACGGACAAGATTAACCGTGTACTATATTCGTGTCGCCATTGCGTAGGCATTAGTATAGCTTTTCATAACACGCATTATTCCTACATGAAGGGCATTCAATAAAGAAATATTTTTTTCTTAAAACGCGAGTATTCTTTGAATTATATAAAAGTAATAATAATTTATATTGTATTATCCAAAAATACAATCCGTTGTTTACTTAGAAATATTTGTAGCAAAAATAATCATTTGTCATGTTTTCCGAATTGTTTAGATATTTTACTATTATTTTTTAGATGAGGGAGATAAAAAAGATAGATATGAGAAAAAAATTAAAGAGTGATTATACGATATGGTTTGTTAAGACAATCAATGCAATTAATCAGTAAAGATTCGCGTCAATGTGAAATTATTCTAGATAAATTTTAATATATCTGGAAGTCTCTGTATAAATATGTTATAGTAGTTTAAATTGTCTGCCAGAATCGTCACATGCAAACATAAATTTTACGTCATTCTTTTTTTACGAAACATGTAAAAATGTACGATAACAACCTGGAGAAAAGAGTCAGACCCACGAAAAGGGACACAATAATCATTAGAGAAATCGGTACTTGAAAGCTCCAATTGCGATTCGATTCTCCCATTCGTCGAAAATCGGTCGCTTCTTTTAAGAGTTTTCTTTTCCGTGGGGACGCAGAGGTTACATAGCTGCTTTCTTACCTCGGCATCGGAAACGGTCCTCTCCGCCAAATTGCGAACTTTGCAGTGGAGGAAGGCGGTGCCACCCAATTGCACTGTGACGTTGGAAACGGTGTTGTTGTCGTTCGCATCGTTCACTCTCTGCAGCTCGTCGAGATTGCTGAACCAGAGGGCTTTCCAATCCGACGGTATGTTGTAGGGTACGCGTCGATCTGAGAAAAGAAAGATGACCAGCGGGTATAATTACGGTAATTTAATTAAGTTGATTGTCTTTGGGGAGCGAAACTCGACGAACGACGCCGCAATTACCAGCGAGGCTATCGTCGGCTCGACTACCGGCAGCGAAACTTTTTTATCAGGACAAAGAAAAATAGAAGTTATAAAGGTACGACGGGAGAGTGCCAGGAGAAAACAAACGCGGAACGAGCCTCAACTCCGCTTGTTTTATCCCGGCCCTCGTGAATTAGAAACTACTTTCCGCGCTCGGACCCTTCTAAATTACCTTGTTATTAAATTTTTTAAGAAGACGACCTGTGTTCCCGCGCGCACCACTCATTTCTTTCGATGTAAATCACTGGGGAAATGTTCCGTAGAAGTTATGAGACAGTTTGCACATTGCCGTAACGATGTCTTGCAGCATTATTTGAACATCGCGTACAGGTGTACAAAATATACTGTATCCCGACAAAGTTTAAGCACGTGGGAGCAATATTATTATCAGGCTTGGTATCGGTGTCATATCATGTAACTAATGGTTTGAAATAGCTTATAATAGCGTAAAATTTTGTTCTTTTATCAGTCTTATTAGAGATCCTCAGAGACTATTTTTTAAATTTCTGACTTATATAAAAAAAAAAATTAAATTAAAAAAATATAAAAACTCCATAGCATAATTTTATTTACTCGATCATAATAAATGGCGAATATCCGCGACATAAAAAAAAATGCGATAACGTTTTACTAATTGCAACATTCTACATTGCTCGAATTTGACCGCAGGCTTTGCCGGATAAAATTTCCAGTATCGCAAGATTCGCGATGAGGCCGAAAGAATAAAAGACGCGAAAGAATTTTTTCCCCGACGTGTGCGCGCACTTTGTTAAAATTTTCATGAATACGACCTATTTCCGGGCGCGGCGCAGGTGATTTAGGATGTTTGCCCTCGTCGGCAGATTACGATTCAAGGAGACTGCGTTGCCGGTGCGGCTTGCTCGAATGTGCCTGCGCCTCGTCCTGACCTCATTTGAATAATCCATGGATACGTAGCGGACGTACATACCTTTTACGCGCCGTGCGAACGCGTTCGCGTTAAAAAAAAAAAAAAAGAGATGCGCCTGGCGGGTCGCATTCGCGATGCTCTCTCAAAAACGCGACCCTGTTTCGCGTTACACTTGTAAAACTTTATTCAGATCATGTTGCTTTCGAAATTACTGCGGACCAAATCTTTTAATAGTCGTGACTTTGTGCGAGAAGAAAATTTATGAAATTTCCTATAAAAAAGAGAGACGCGCTGTGAGAAGTTTTATCGCAATAAAATGTGTATTCATTCTTTTGTGACAATTCTTTTTCTTTATCGGGAAAAAAGGGCAAAAACGCAAAATAATAATATATGTAACATAATATATAATATATGATAAAATGTGTGTTCCATATACGCACTCAAATAACACAAATTATATAAAATGTACTGTTATTTTTATTTTACGTTATTTGTCTATATTAAATATTAAAATTTAATAAGTTTGATTAAACTCTACATTTAATTTAAAAATGAAGAGGTCAAACTTTTTTTACTTGACCAAATAGTTCGGGTAACGACATTTTCTATTCCGCGGGAAATTCGATGTAACTGTGTCTAAATAAATCATTAGTCTCAGGTTGCTAAAATTACATTACACGAGGAAATAATATATCTATGGACGGAAGGAATTATGAATGAGAAAGCATTGAATTTCAATGCGATTCACCTTGTTTAATTGAATTGTGCAGGATGAGATATAAATCATGCATACATTTTTGCATATTTTTCTGTCAAATCATTTCTATACTTTTTTTGTTCCATCTTTTTTATATATATTACATTTATTTTTATCATTATTTACATATTATCATTGGTAGAAAATCACTAAATGCTTTCAGTACATGAAGTAAGATGTGCATCGCACATAAAGTATCAATGTAAACATATTTAATTCACGAAAGTAAGGATCTTGCAAGAGAAAAGTTTAGCTCGCGTGATCTGTGCGAGGGAAGCATCCACCTACCTCCTTCAGGAGGGCCTTCCTTTCATCGGGGATTCGATTCGGCCGCGGAAAAGTTCGGCATTCTAAACGCCTCGACTCTATCTTGTACATAGGTGGTGCGGCAAATCGAGTTTGAAAGCCTGAAAGTAGCGAGCGTGTTTGGCCGCTACTCGTATTCATCAAAGCACCGAGGCAAAACTGAAATACGGGGCTTCGATGGCTTCGCCAAATTCTGAAAAGTCTTTTAACCGTTCGTAAAAGGAAATGGCTTAACGCGGGAAATGAACGGGAAATTTAATCTCTCCGCGCATAAAGCTATAACTGAGGGAAATTAATACGGAAATTTTCATGATTGTTCAATATTATTTAATCAGAAGCGAGGAGCTTCTTTTTTCCAGGAAAAGTATATTTCGTGCCATATTGTGTTGATAAATATAAAATATAAATTGTTGTTTCTTTCGTATAGATCGTACGAATACATATATATAACCGGCATACCAATGCTAATCTCGTTCTAAACAACATACAATGTTTGTTAACGGACTTCCACTGTTATTCTGCATATCACGTCAGTTACTTGTTTTCGGACGCATTGAATTTTGCATCTGTTTCGCGATAACGAAGTTTCAACAGTTTATTTAACTAGAAACAGCACGAATTATTTAGATCGAAGCATCAAGTACTCCCTACTATGAGTTTTCACTAGTGTAACGTTGCATTGTCTAATTTAATGTTAGCAAACATCATTGTACGCGTATATAATGAATGAAAATAATTAATTACAACGCTACGCTAATGCAAAGTGCATGATTGTTGCAGATTCCGTGTTTCATATATCCATCATGTAATAATCTATGTGGCAAATTATCAGATAAATTATAGAATACAAGTCTAAATATATGTGTTCGTGTGTCGAGCATCAGAAGTTTCGCTTTTCATTTCGAACATTTCAAAGTTTCGAGATGATGAAATCTGGTTTTATTACTACGCTGTCAAGCTTTGCCTTTTTGGATAAAAATTTTTCTATTAATTGGCACAAAATTTTATGTGATTTAAACTGTCTATTAGAAATGCTGAACCTCTCGAAAGCAATATTTCAAAAAACCTGTACTCAAAAAGATGCGTTTCTACATTTGTCGTAAAAAACCAACTTTTTCGACATGGTCGTCGACCGTTGGTTATCTCATTGCTTTGATATTCTGACATATGCAAGTAAATGCGTTAATTTGATTGCTCAAATAAATATTAATATTACTTACCAAAAAACTTTTAGATTGCAAAAAAAAAACACTTTGCCGTCGTAACATAATACTTAATTTATTCATCTAAATATTCTATATATAATCCAATAAAACACAATAATATTTAATTAATTACAAGAAATTAATAATAACAAATTTTCGGGTTACATAAATTTTTTAATGAGCTTCAATTATATAAAATAAATAGACCGAAAAGAAAATGACTGACAACTAAACGAAAAACAAATAGATAAAATATTTCTATAGCAATATTTTAAAAAAGGTAAGAGGAATTGGAAGTAGAAAGTTTTAGTTCCTATTTTACTTATCCATTGTACGATATTGCACGCAATTTGACTTGCCAGTCGGTTATCCGTGTTTGGAAGCATAATGGAGGCCTTTAGAAAACAAAGGGATGCGCGTTCTGCCATAGTAAAGGGGTAAGTGGGCCGCACGCGCGTGTGTGCGTACTCGCGCTCACTGGATGCATATACGCAGACAGAAGCAATCGCGGCTCTCCCAAATGCGCGAGTTCCTGAAAAACACGTTCGCTCGACTGCGGACAAAGGATCCGCCCGCGTGCGGCTGAGCGCTTCACGGGCACGCTTTGTGCGCCCTCGCGCTTATTTTATCGAACGTGTAATTTAGCCCTGCTGACTTCGTACACGCACATATCTCTCTCTCTTTCTCTCTCTCCGAAAGTGAGAGAGATCAGACGACTCCAACTTATTAGTGCTCATTCGATTCTACCATCCATGTCGTCCCGATGAAAATGGAACGCGAAGTCATTCTTCTCCCGAAGCCTCATTAAACCTTCAATACAGCCCGAAAAAAAGAAACGTATACATCTCGAAAGTACGATATAAAACGAGAAAATAAAGATAAAAAAATTGACTCAATCTCAGGGAAATTTATTCTTGATTTTTCCATCGTCAAGATTACATCCGAGTTAGAATTTAAATATGAACCCTGCCTCGTCGTAGGCTCTTGCTCCCTAAGAGATCAATAAACGGTTATATGTATTTGACAGAGTATTTCTTCTTGCTACGTTCAATTCGATATTCCATCGTCAGGATAAAATGGCGATGCGAGAGAAATCGAATGACAAAACAAGGAACAGAAAGAGAGATGAAGCGTGAAAATGCAACGGGCTAAACGAACGTAAAAATAGCGAGTCAAGAAACGAGCGAGCAGATAAGGCGAAAGGGGTTAGTATCGTCGTGGATACGAGCGGGGAAACTAGAGCGCGAGGACGTTGAAAGGAAGCGAGAACAGGGAAGTGAGAGAGGTGAAGTGACGACGTTCGGGTCGACGACGAGGAACCGTATGTATAACAGTAACCAAAATGCTAGCCTGCATCAAGGCATTACGTCTGCCTATCCGCCGTCACCGCCGCCTTAAACGTGTAGCGCAGCGCCACTACCTGCATACATACATGTAGTTTGCATAGAAATTGCACACGTCATCCCGCAACGCGCGGTGGTCTCTGCTTTATAAGGCAGCGTGCAGATTACTATTCACCAGGTCTCTCTCGTCTATCCCGGCTATGAAGTGACCGTCGAGTATTCGAGAGATGGTATTCTTCGAAGCCGTCCACAGGGCATCCGCTCTCTCTCTCTCTCTCTCTCTTTCTCTCTCTCCCTTGACGTGGCCTTTCCGTTTCGGTCGTTTGCGACGGGTGATTTTCGAAGCGATGTGTTTCGCATCGCATTCCTATCACGCGACGTT